ACCGACACAAAATCAGCACCCAACGGTGGGAACACCCCATTCCCTTAGACAAAATACTGGCCTATATTCACAAACCGTCCGTTATCCTGGCTTGAGCTTACACAGCCGTTCACGCATACCCTCACAGCATCCATGAAATGCCTTCTCCGCGGCCAATACACAGTGATCTCACGATCACGTGGGAGTCCGAAGGATAAGGAGAGGCGAACTTGCCCTAACTTCTAAGCGCTTCGTTCGGAGTTATATGGCGGTCCCGTTATGCGCGGAGATAATCTCCATTCCCATGAGAGTTTGCAACGTGTTAATCCCCGAAATAAACCCTCCTCTAAGTTTCTCCTTGGGGTTAATGTGACCGATTACACAATGACAAATTGAAAAGTCGACATTCGGGGTTAGCTTATTACGTCAAGGTAGAAGTGGGCCATCATAGGATATTCTACATGACAGATAAGTGGACCATTAAGAATGCGTAATCATATGCACGCCGCATGTGTGTATGTGATGTGTCAGATATGCCTATGCCATGCAACGCATGTGCGTCATACGTATGTATGCAATGCGCCATTTGGGAATCAAATGTGCGATGTGATGCGTCAACACATACGGACCAACGCGAAGTTTTATATTGGTGTAAAAAGGGCTATCCCTGCCCAACTCTCCTAGGCAAACGCATGACATAATCATAACACACCAGTTAGCAAGCATGTTTAACCCGCATAGCTTCGTGCCTACACAGACTAGCTACTTAAGAAGCAGTAAAAGGTTTGCACGGCTAGCTGTTCTGGCATCCGAAATCATGCCGAAACACAACTCTGCCGAAAACGCTATGCAATCAAACCGCCTCATGATCTCAAGATCTGAAAAGAGCTCTAAAACCAAATAACAGCCAAGTGACGTCTTCATGTGATACGTTTCCACAATAAGAACTGAAAACGACAAACTGTACAAAAAAGGTACAATAGCTATTCTGGGTGGCCGACTTCTCGCGTAATCCAAACCGTCTTATAATCTCAGGATCTGACCACGGCTGTAAAACCAAGTAATAGCCAGGTAGCGTCTTCATATAATAGGTTTCCGCGACAATATCTCAAAACAAATTTGAGAGCAAAAAAGGTACGAAAGCTCTTCTGGGTGCTCCAGTTCTTACCTAACCCAAATTTCCCATCGTACTCTATCGGTATGTTGTTCCATCATTCTAAGGGAGGAGCGGACCATCCCGTCAGTGGACCCTCATGCGCGGGCGGCACCCGTCTCGGCCCGCTGGTACCTGCACATGGATGTTCGTAGCGCTCCTCCATACTTTATCGCTCGTCATCGTGCTGAAAATGTCTTCTGCCGAGAAGCAGCCTACGACTGGTTAAACAGAACAGTCTGACAGGAACAGAACAGGCTCCTCTGGTAGCGCAATCCCACGACTCCATGATGTACGATTTTCAGTTGAGCGACGATTATTCTATTGAGGCGTGCGCCACTTCCATCTCCTTCTCTTCCTTTTGCTGGAATGAGAAAAAAACGCATGAAAATCACACAAATTCCGATCATGTGCTTCTATACAGGAAGACCATTCTCGAGGCGTTTATGACCCTGTCCATACGACATTTAGAGCCTTGCATGCGCAGTATGATTCAGAAAATAGCTCTAAAGCATGAGCCAGGCCGGGTTCAGATATCTTAGAAACTCACATCCACTGAGAAGCCATATCAGGTCAGCGACCTTTCGGCAGTGTTTCTGGAGATCATGTCATTCAGATAGGAGACGGTGCAGCTCAGCTTGGAGAGCGTTCGTAATGTGTGAGGTTTGAGCCTGTCTCTCGACCCAATGTTTCATTGTCTCCGCGGAGATCAGCATGGATATATGCACGCTTAATGACCCTGAGTATCGAACGCGTCGTCGAAAACATTAAGAAATTCAGGAAAGTGGCTGTAAAAATCGGTGAGGTATGCGAAAATTACAACCAGCCAAGGACGCACCGAGAACACTTCTTTGTGTCTGAATTACATTAAATGACATAGTTTGTCAGCGTTAAGAATTAAAAAAATGCACAGCCGTTTTTATCGTGCATTTGCAACATAAGTGTGCGTTAGGCTAATTGATTTTGCTGAACATCAGTTATATTTTGATTGATTGGGATGATTCGGGTTTGACCGCCGAGCCGTCTCACGACCAAATCTCACTGACGCGGTTGTTATCCAACAGCGGGCTCACATGTTCTTCGCCGACGTGGAAGTTGAGGAAGCGCCGCGCCCTGGCGGGCAGCCAGCGAAACAGCGTGTCTCCGAGCGGCACGACGAGCCGGGGGTCCAGCCGGCGCGGGTCCCGAGGTCCCGTCACCCAGCTGACCAGCAGGCCCACCACCACCACCACCGAACACGTCACCGCCGAGTAGTACATGTAGCTCAGGTAGTAGATGCCCAGGGCGTCCTCCCTGCAGGGCGGGTGCGAGGTCAGGTATTACACCCCAGGGTGTCTTCTAGTGGAGTAGACGGGGAGATAGCACGCGTGCCGCGCTTTCTCGGCGGATGGTAGTCGGTGAGCATAGGCCACACGCACCATCACAGCAAAAATAGTCCCTCCGCGCTCCACAGCGCCTTATTTCTCACAGGTCGGTCAAGCCAGCTTAGACTAGCGCAGCACGAAGCTGTTGGGCGGAACAGTCCTGTTCCAGGTGAGAGCACTCGGTAGCAGCTAGATCAGGGATTGAGTTATTGATGGATGGCCCATTCGTTCGACTACCGGAGTTGAAATGTACGGAAGAGGTTGCTGTGAGATCGGTTCCGTCCGCATGTGAGGCAAGTGAGTTCCATGCATCCATGTCGATCTGGTCCTAATTCTGGAAGCTATGCTAAATGCAACCTTGAAATCGGTCACATTTAACTTTGTATATTCGAACGATAGGACTCAACTTTCCACTGAACATATTACTGGAATCACCGCCAGTATCAGTGCTGCTTGCTGCGTGAGCTCTGACACCATCATTTGATAGTGGAACTCAATAGTACCATTCTTCGGCGAAAGCTTGACATGTCACAACGCTTGGCACTGCCCGTCCGACCCCGAAGAATGACCCTCTGACGTCACATGACCTTCCCCGCACCTGCTGCTAGCGGCCGCAGTCCGTACCAGCCAGGGTCAAATAATGAACGCATAAAGCGAATCGAATCCTCCCCACCGCCAGTAGGTGAACCTGAATGCAGGCGTTCTAACCATCCCAGCTTCTGGGACAAAAGAAGAAATAGAAGGAAGAAAAATGTATGTTATCTCGCGGGAAATCTTCAGAAATTGGGAAAAACTGGCACCACCGGAATGATAAAGCGGCATGTTTGGAGTGAACAAAGGACATAGCTAAATCATATTTTCAAGTTAAAGTTCAGAATTATATCTGACTTTCATGTAAGAAAGAGCATTAGACCACCCCGCTGAGGCATTTGAACTCATAAATTTTTATGGTAATAGCCCCGTAGCATTGAAATCCTACGCTGGCACGGAAAGTCATGCATTTAGTTGACTTGATCCCAATATTCAGGTGCAGCTCACATCTTAACCTCCTAAGTACGTTAGTGATGCTTTCCATGCTATCCTTTAGGGCACATGCTTCTGTCCAAGGCGTTGCATCTCAGCAAAAAGGCGTCCGGCGCATACAAATAAAATCACGTGAGTGTGGTGGTCTAATCGTCCTTCTCAAATGGAAGTTAGACGTAATTATCACATGAAAATGACGGTATGTTTTTGTTCTGCTTTGATGTTCTTGATTCTAAATGTGCCATCTTATTATTCCGGGGTGCCAATGTTTTTCCTCAAATGCTGGAGTTTGCCCCCAAAGATAACAACTGATATTTCCTTTTCTTTTCCTTACATATTTTGTCCTAATAGCTCTGTTCGTTAGTGCACCTCCTTTCAGATGTATGTGCTAGTTGCGGGGAGAATTCGATTATATATATACGCTGATCATTCGGTCCTGGCTGGCATGAACTCGGCCAGTTAAAGCAGGTGCGGGAAAGGTCAGGTGACGTCAGAGGTTCCTATTCTAAGGGTGGCGCGGGCAGTGCCAAGCGTCAAGGTTCCGCCGTAAAATTGTACCGTTCACCGGGTATCGCACGATCGGGATCGGGTGGTGGTGGCAGGATTCTCGCAACAAGCGTGGCGTGGCGTGGCTTAGCGTGGGTGATGATCCCGGGACTTTGTCCAGCTAGTTGAGAGGACCCTACTTAATGGTGGAAGAAGGGTAAGCCCCGCAAAAAATTCAATGCTGCCACTGATTTGTTCGTTTTTATTTGATACATCTCGCCGAGTTAACACGCGCTCGGTTGGAGGGGTCAAATGGACCACCCCAAACGTTTTTCCGGAATTGTTCCTGAACGGCGCGTCAACGCCGCGCCGAATTTTGCACAGATGTAGATATTGAATGATGGTTCGTTTGATGTCAAAAATCTCAATGTACCTTGTAAGGTCGCTGTTCTACGGCAGGTCAAAGTCAGGCTATAGATTAAGCGAAGTCAGTTTCTACGGAATCATTCATCTGGTGCAACAGTGGAGTGTTAGACCAAGCCATACATCTCTGAAATACTTTCTCAGGCAACACAACACTTGGATGAACCAATTGCATTGATCTTTGGTCAGGTATGATGGTCAGACCAAGGTCGAAACCAATCTGTTTTATTACCCAGGGCTTGTTGTATGAGGCAGTTTTTGGTGCTTATTTCGAATTTATTGATAACAGTGACGGCATTATACAGTTTCTACGAACTTTTCAGAAGTCAAAATAGGTCACTGACCTAAAATGGCTCAGGTCAACACTTCGGTTTTGGGAACATATTACCTAGCGAAATATGTGTCGCTTATTCAAATGCAAAACTCAGAAGTCCTGTATGATCTTGGTCACCATGACCTTCGGAAGGTCAAACGAGGTCACCGACCTTAAATGAGCACTTGATCTTTTGCTTCGAACAGATATCTGGGTTCTGGGGGTGGTTTGGAGATCGATCTGGGGTTTGAATTGCTTGACCTTTTTTGCCCGAAAGTCATAAAGTAGGAACCTCAAACTTTGACTTAAGTAAGTTTACGTACAGGCCAACACATCCTGTGAATTTGGTGTCTCTGGCTTCCTTAGTTCCTGAGGTCTCAGGGGGCCAAACTGACCCTCCCCCAACTCGAGCAAAAGGTATCCGACAGGCCGCCCGAGCGCGTGTTAATGCCAGATGGCCATGTATGGCTACCACCCACCCGCCTGATATGCAAACAGAAAGGACTGCACAACAAGCTGCTCAGCTCAGTTCGATTGTGGTCAAGCTTAACTACCACGTCGTCGATCGTATGAGCCGGCCATCAATCACTCTTTCCCTCTGAACTGTCTGTTGTCGAGGGCATTCGCCTGGATCAGGACTTTTCTGCACAGCAACTATATGGTACGTTTTAGTCCAAGGTTCCAGAATTGAACTGGGAGCTAAGACGTGGTGGAGGCGCGGGGTCCTTGTTTTGCTGTGATTGTACCCACAGTGTTTTCTCTGATACTGGCCCGATCAAAGATGTACTTCAGCAAGGAACCCGGCTGTGGGAGAATGTGGAGCCGGTGATTGGATGCTAGACTGCGAGGTTGAAAAATGCGTCCAGTTGCCCACGAGCGTGGGAAACTGGTATGAATACCAGTCATTCATGAAAGGAGACTCAAACGCTCCCATTGTTCAAAGTTCGATTTGACATACTCTAACGAAACGTCGATTGCGATGAAGTTGCGCGCATTACAGCGCTGAAAGAAGATTATGTTTCAGTGGCTTAGACCGTTTTTAGCACTGCCGTGTGGGGAGACAGTTTGTGACAAGAAGCCGAGCTTATGAATCGGTTTTGTTTATTGGTTTTGGAGCATTCTAATGAATGCATAATTGATTAAAATAAACGTAGATACATCTTACATTAACAAAAAAGTGTGTACAGACGTTATCATCATCGTTGTGCAAATCACAGCGCCGTCTAACATACGCCTGATGTATCAAAATATGCATATTTGAAAACGTGTTTTGAAAAATGCCTCCGAACAATGACCAAAAAACGTCCATTTTAGGAGCATTTTGTGTTCTAAGTTTAGATAATTTTGTGGATGGTTCCAAGTGGTCTAAGTTGTATGACAGGTCCTGTGTTGGTGCATCGCAGGCAAAGCAGGGCCCTGAATTAGGAATAGGTGGATCCTTCTTTGGTGCAAGATGCTGGATGACTTCAGGCCTAAGACTTTGCTGACATATTTGCAACAGCTGGTAGTATTTGTTCTAACTGCTTAAAAGTGATTTACATGAGGTAGATTGAGTTCGTGTTTGATGGAAAGCAAGCCATATATGTGTGATTACATGGTGTCTTGATTCATACAAGTAATGCGTCCTTTGGGAATTTTTGGTACAATATGGCTACCTAGAGCATTTAAGATCAACATATGGTGGTATTAAATATATGAGGCAGGGGTGGTCTGCCGCAATCACTTTTCCAGTGATATACATGTTAGGAAATCCCTGAAAACATTCTGCTTTTGGGACATTATCATATGACAGAAAAGAAATACAGTTTGATTCCCCAAAAATGTTACGGCGGGTGGAATGCACTTGAACATTTAAGTCATCAAGCTGCACTTTTGATACTTGGCTTCCTTAGTCTGGCCACAAATCACGCTCGCCATGACGAGGGGATCCTCCAATAATGTTTTTGAGGATACCTGACTGACATCTTTTGCGATCGCGTCCAACTTTTCGGTAACCGATGGAGCATTTATTGCCCGTGTTTTAACGCCTGAAACATGTTCCTAGCTTTTCTGGTTCTAGTTAGCATGATGTAAGCTGAAGAGTACGAGTTTCTGGAAAATTCGATCTTTGACCCGCCATGATGGGTCAATTATTAGACCAAACAAGAAAGCTAGCAATAATCGCGAGATCTCGTGGAGACCAATCCACTGGTATATCCGCTTATTTCAATCGTCATAGTTTGAGTAAAGCAGGAGTGGGGGTCGCACTTGCCCCCTCCCCCCCCCCCCCCCATCTATCGGTCTGCGTTATGAGCAACGGCTTGTCAGCGTGAAGGTTAAAGAGATAGATCAAGTCATTTGTGTTTTGTAGAAGACGGGCGTAAGTTTTTATCTCTGCTATTCTGGGCGACGAGCTGGACTCCCGCTGACGATACCGACTGTCGCTGAGTCGTGCGTTTTCACCCAGACGACAACTTACCTTTTAATCCATCGGTGCCATTGTCACTGAGCGTCACGAGGAACTGTCATCGCCAGGTTCCAGTCAGCCATAGTGGTAAGCTCGGCCACAGGGCGCTCTCACCGTTCTGGCGTGTCGAGGAGACTGCTGTTGAGGGTCGGAGGAGCTGCTGACGGGGACAGGTCGACGTACGAGACGTTGTAGCGTGGACAGCCCGCCACCGAGGTCTCCAGCTTCGGGATGTGGATGTGGCCCTTCGCCTTCTCCACCTGCACTCCGATTCCGATCCAGAAGATGACGAGCAAGGCAGAGAAAATGCCCGACATGGCGCCCTGCGGCGGCGTCAGGCGGGCTGAGTGCGGGTATGCGCACTGCTGATGCGGACAGGTCAGGCTAGAGGGCAGAGCCTTCCGCTGCCAGCGCCGACACTCGTGTCACGTACGCCCTATAGCGGCAGGAGTTGAAGCTAAATGACGTCAAGCGGGCACACTCGATTTGTATGCAGCGCAGCGATTTCATAAATTGCCGAACATCCCTCTGATTTGAATACAGGGATACATTTGGATCATGGAAAATCATTTGAACAGTTGTCGGAAATGATGCAGGCAATGACGACCGAGGTATGTATGCGTTGCACAATAAGGTGCTACAACCAAAAGGATCACTCACAATGTGGTTGGCCCAAGGGAAGAACAATCCCAGAGTGAACACTCCGAGAACCGGTCCCCCAACCATGCCGTATATGCTGAGAGCCGCCTGAAACAGGCGCACACACGCGCCGTAGGTCAGCAGGTGCCTGACTGAGGTTAGCAGTTTCGGGCCGAACATAACCTCTATCGAAGTCTCAACATAACCTGGCCTAGTGATAGCTCAGCCTGCCCTGATGTTAAGAATAAATCCAGCCTAACATGCTGTCAGCAGAAATCCGGAGCGGGCAAATAGTGAACGATAGTTATCACTTGAATTTGATTCACAGTCGATTAGTCACATACGATTACGTTGCAGCCAACATGTGTAGGATTACCGGTTTGGAATTTGATGTCATCTTTGTCGCTATTACTTTACATTTTATATGTAATTTAAGAACTTTGTATGAATCCACAAATGCTTACGTTGCATGTTGCACGCCCCACTATCTCCATTCGTTTCCGCTCGATTCGTCGGTTCTTGTCATTACCTGTAAGATGTCTCCAAGCTGTTCAGCAATAAACACCAGTAGAAATCCCAACACACCTGCGGTCAAAAGGAGAGGAATAAAACGTGGCAAGATGACAAGGCGATAGCGCATGGCACAACAGGAAGGGAAGTCCTATCATTGCTCTGAGGCACGAGTAATTGGGAAGAAGTAGTTGAAAGCCAGCACTAATTGCTAGAACAGCAGCTCTGTATAATAAAGTTATGCCGCCTTATTTTCACCCGATTCAATCACCAATGTTTGGATGCTAATAATATAATGGTACGTAATGTGCATGACACCTTCATTGCACCACATACGACCCAAATAAACGCCACGACGCTTGAAATCGAGCCAACGCTACGAACACGGCAGGGATTGGAGCGCAGCATCTGTTTCACACACAAGAGTGATGCCGAACAAGACAAACCCACCGAAGGCGACGGCCAGGGCGCGAGAGATGATGGTCTGCATCTGAGCCGTCAGCGGCCTGCTGACGCTGGGCATGATGAAGTCCTCCATGGTGATGGCCGCTAGCGAATTGATCCCGGAGCTCACGGTGCTGACAGAAACTTCAGGTCACGTGCGCAGACGACACTGGGTCGTGCCGAGTCGCAAGCCAGCGGACAGTCGTAAAAGGGATTCAAGAAATAGGTAGCACATTGCATGGCGATTTCCTAGCGGTCTGTTAAGCTGGACGTCAGTACCTCTCACTTCTCAGCTGCCAGCGTGTTGCTCGGGTTTTTGGCCCACGTGAGCCACGTAAGAATTTTGAAGTTGTAATGATAGGCATTTCCTGGAAGTCTACAGCTGACGTAGAATATGGAATGGTGAGAAGAAATCTAATCATGTCATTATGCGAAAAATTCCAATATTTCAGTAGATGCGACGACATGGCAGGTCCCAGCCAACTGGGGGAACGTCGTTTGGCAGGCAGATCACCCTTGGAACGTGCGGCGAAGGTAATGGGCAGAAAGAAGCAAGCCAAATGCTCCTGGCATCAGATAGTTACATATAACAACATGTATAAATGGCCGTAACCATCCTGCTCCATTAGTGCACGCTGGTGTCTGCCGAAAGACACTAATATATATATATATATATATATATATATATATATATATATATATATATATATATATATATATATATATATATATATATATATATATCGGTATATTTTGGCAGAACATCTTCTTTATGCATGTCTGATTAAAAACGCCTTTGACTCAGCAGTGACGAGCTTTTTTATGTATCTATTCAGCTTCCGGGCTTTTGACTTAGCGATGTCGTTAGGATCAAAGATAGTTCGCACAAAATCACTCTTATATTCGTCAATGTGTACATCCTTACGTTTTGAGATCTTAGTTCATCGTCCGATAGATATAAATGGCACAAGAAAACAGCTTTAGACTTTTAAGGATGTAAATTGTGCGTCACTACCTGGAGAAAATTTTTAGTCCCGAGGAGACATGTGAAGGAATACCAAATTGAAATAAGGCAAGATCTTATTGTTACTTTGATGCATATACAATGCACGAATAAAGAAACACTACAAAGACACCTAGCCACAAATACATCGTAAGTATGTATCGCTCGCCATCTAAGAACTTAAGGGTTGTATATGAGTTAGCTTGTTTGGGGCTGGAGAGAGTTCGTTAACAAACATGCTTTCCCACATTTGAAGACGACTTCTGTCAATGCACGCCTGAAGAATGTCAGCGTTGTACATCCGTTGTTGTTGTGTCAATGTTCTGTCATGTTCGAGTCACATGTGCTCCAGAGATGCCCCGTCACGTAAGTGCATTGCCAGGCGTCGTGAGAGTGTCGTGGTTACGCTAGCGTAGTGTATGGAGCGAAATTTGCAGCCTTCAAGATGACATTTCAATTGATACACTACATTGATACACTTAAGTTTGTCAGGTTTGTCCCGGATGTTTCTCATAAGAAAGTTAGACCCTTTTATAATGCGATAATAAATGGCAATGTCTATTTTGAGGTCGTTCTTGCCTTTCACATGTTGAGAGATCATTTCCTGTAGAGCTTTTTCTTCTTGTGGCAGATGTGGCAAATGGCAGATGTCATTTGATTTTGATAATACAGTTGGACAGTTGATTGTCTGTCTTGTCTATTTGTCTTAGTTTCTTGTTAAAGTGCCTTGTTATTTGTCACTGTGATGCGTTTCCAACATCGGAATTTGAAAAAAACAACGGTTTTTTCCAAGAACTGGGTGATTCGCACCGACTCCAAATGTAACACTGTCCAATCAGAGCAATGGTTAAATACATGTCTAAGGAATGACCTTATGAAACTAGTTTTGTAGCGTCGAGGACATTCAATGTCAGCATTTACGCACCGTCCGTTGTTAGTCTGCTTCCGGTGTACAGTTGTTTTATATCGCTGTCTTTGTTCGTCAACGTTGACATCAAGAAAGGGTATTATATTTTGCACACGTAATTTGCTGTGAAGTTTAAATCAGATTTCTCTCCCAAGACATTTTTGAGACGTTGTAGTTAGTCAGTGCCCATAACCTCCGCAAAGGTATCTTATACATAGCGTCAGCAAATGTGCGGCCTTATGTTGCCATTTGGTAGTGAGTCGACTTCTATATGTCCCATAAAAACTTGGCAAATAAATGTCCAGGAGGAAAGCCCATCGCAACACCCTCAGTTTGGCAATACATTCGTCCACTAGGCCCACGAAAAGAAACTTCCAGCGTACAGGCTTCTAGTACTTGTTCAAAAAGGCGCCTTGAGATTTTAAGAGCGGGAATTTCGGGATGATTGTACACGCGGTCGAGGACGATAAATATGGCTCTTTCAATGAGCACGTTTGTAAAAAGAGATTTTCAACATCTAAAGAGGTTAGCAGACCCTTCGGCTGGATAGATTGCTTGACATCTTTAAACTCATTGCTTGACGACAAGCTGTAGGACACGGGAAGATAGGGGCACGGAAGGCCATTAAGACGTTTTGCATTTCGACAAGCTGGTGAATGGTTAAGGGTTATATGTTTAGTAAATGAACACATACATGACACTCATACATACCTTATGGTGTATATACATAGTTTGGTATATATATATATATATATATATATATATTTATATGTGTATATATATATATATATATATATATATATAATATATATACATATATATACATATATATATATATATATACATATATATATATATGTTATATACACCAAGTTTTTGTACATCATATATATATATATATAATATTATATATATTGATTACAAATGCGCCTGCACCATGCAGGTGCTTTCAGTAAAGGTAGCACTTTTGTGATATCGGTGATGCCTGAGCATCGCCGGTACCAGGACTTCTGGCTTGCACTGAAGCCAAAAACAGTGCGGCACCCATCCATCTGTGCTGTGGTCATTACGGGGATACCACAAATTTACAGCCAGGAAGAAAACACAACACCGTTAGGATATAACATCATCTACAGCTCCCACCTGGCAGTAAACCTGTTCGCCAGAACAAAATGGTCTTGTTGTCGACATGTTAGCATACACCAACCATTCTCACCGCCTGACAGCACCACTACCCAGCTCCCCGCCTGAGAGCGCCTTCGACTATTTATCCACACCTAAGAGCAACACTGTCCATGTCTTTTCACCTGAGAGGACCACCGTCCAGATATTCTCACCCGACAGCACCACCGTCCAGATATTCTTACCCGAGAGCACCGCGCCCACCACTCTAGCCTGAGAGCACCACCATCCCTGTCTCTCCTCATCCGAGAGCACCACTGGTACCATCTACATCTCCCCTCACCCGAGAGCACCACCGGCACCGGCACCATCTCCCTCACCCGAGAGCACCGCTGGCACCGTCCCCATCTCCCCTCACCTGAGAGCACCACTGAAGATCCCGGCCACAAAGAGCCCTGGCACTCCCGGCGTCTCGCCCAGCGTATCCATCACAAACAGCGGGAACAGCTGGTCGGCCGTGCTCACGCTCCCTGAGCTCAGCGGGTCGCACAGCCGGTAGCGGGCGTAGATGACCAGACCAGCGTAGCTACACACGGTCAGCAGGAACAACAGGCCTACCAGATTCAACCAGATGGCGCTGCCGACACGGGGTGAGTGGGGTAGATGGCGGCAGGAACAGGACCACTTCGTCGGGGTCGCTTGGTGATTTGGTTGTTCTCGAAAAGCTTTGGGCTTGTGGAACTGTTTTGTTTATATACTTATTAAATGCCAATAAAAACCTGTTACGCCATCTGGAGTAAGGTAACAGCCATCATTCAACATCCCTTCACAGCGAAAAGTTTTGGCTCAGGTAGTTTTTAGTCACAAATCTTTGAGTCTGTTTCTATAAACGTGCCTCCCCCCCCCCCCCCCCCCCCCCCACCTCCTGTTGAAGACGGATTCAACATAACTGCATGGTGTAAAGTGTAAAATCAAGCACCGTCAACAATGCTACGGTGTCCTTGTTACCGCAAGCGACACCATCACAAGAATGGCAAGGACAAACGAACAAATGAAAACTGCGCGTGTAGGGGTGCAGAAACACAAGTGGCAGAGGGGCCATCAAAAAGTTAGCACCAAAGTGACACGCTGATGGTGACCGCCCGTTGCCTCATTAGTACGGGTGACATCGCCCTATGCAGTCCAGCTGTTCTCTGCCAATGACGCCTCCTCACTTGGCGGCGCGCCGCTTAGTGGGCACGCAGAGGTAGCGTTGGACCTGCGCCTGGTTCACGCCGTAGATGGTGATCCAGGTGAAGTAGCCGCCCACCACCAGAGTCCAGACTGTGTGCCGCACTCCTGGACTGGTGTTGAAGCTGCGGCATAGTCACAACATTCGGGTCACCGCGGTCCTGCTGATGCTTATGCTGTGATACTCGCAGGCGATTAAAACATTCACGGTGTCACACATCAGCCCAACAGGACACCCGTAATCCGCATGACAAATCTTATCCAAATCGTGGAACTCAGTTACAGTCAGGAAACCTGACGACTCGGGACCCTTCCATCCCCCTCCTCCCCTTTTCCCGGGGCGTTGTCGGAAGTCGGATGAGAGCTCAGAGTTCTTCCCTGCCATCAAGCGCCGTTGGTGACGCAGTAGCTCTAACACCATCCATCCGGAAGCTGTGGACATCTGCTCGGTGCATTGATAGCCACCCAGACAACCAGCGGAAGCCCTGAAGCCACTTACCCACTTACAGGGCCTTTGTCAGCCTCGGTGGACGTGCGACCTGCTATGATGGGACATCATTGAAAATAACGGAGGCAATTGAAACCGGACGACTAAAGCAGCCACATAGCTGCCTGGACGTGATGGCAGAAGCCTGCATCAGGGCGCTAGCCGAGGTTTTGTAGAGCCGTGTAGTCGTGCGGCAATATGCGCCCGACGGAGGGTACATGACAGGCGGCGAGTGGATACCGAATGGGTGCTGGATCCCAGAAACGGACCTCGGCGCCTGGATCCTGAGCCCTGGATGCTACAATGCACGAGGTTCAATGCTAAGCTTCATCCTTGGTCTTGGGATTGTTTCGGATCATGAATCCGCACTGACTTGAGGCTCAAATATCTTCTAAGTTCGGCAGGGCGGCACACTGCAGTCAGAAGTACGGTCCATCATTTCGGCGTAATCTGTCTGAGTCATCGCGTTTTTTGTGTGGTAACGTGTTCGTTCCGGACTATGTCGTCGGAGGGAGCGCACAGAATATATCTTAGTAAGCCGATCTGCATAAAATGTCGTTGCGCTCAGCCTTTTCAGTTCCAAACGCAAACCTTCATACAGCAAGAAGCTACCAGAGTTGTAACACCTTTGCCACATGTCTGTCCTGAAGTCAAGCCTCTGATGTCGTTTACATAATTTAATACATTCCATGCATCCCACACATCACCAGTGCATTGCATCAAGCTCTGTGTCTAAAAACCAGGCCCCTCAGTCGGGTTTCAGAGCTCCGCGAATGGCTCTGGTTGTTGTCATGCACACCTGATTCTTGGCAAGTTTGCAACGTACCCGGGGACGAATGAGTCCTGATCGGCCAAAATGGATTGCAGTTACCATTCCAAGATACCGACACGTCCTTGAATCCCGATTTCATTTCTAAGTTTAGTGAAAGGCGTCCCGAAATGCAGTCTTCCGTTGCATTTTGCCGAGCATGCCCTGGGTCCATCCTAACTGACGCGCATACGGAAGGATCTGGCGCGGTCCAGATACCATTTTGGTGGAAGTTATTCTGAACCCAAGGTTCACTCATGAACATTGTGATACAATCTGAGGGGACCTGATATCTATTTGTCGTGTCCAGTCTTACGTCTGGTGAGCACAGGGCCCACCGAGTTTGTCGGGCGGTTTTGCATAACTGTATGCAATAAAACCGCGCTGATCTTTTCCAGGGGCTGAGGACATAGAAGCGTCCTAATAAGGCGGCTAGGTAAACCGTTCAATTTATCAATGCATCAGCGCAGGTTGATGTGAAACTTTCACGAGAAATCCGTCTGCAATCCCGCTATATCGCGCTTCCATCGTTATCACCTCGCGGCCGGGGAGCGACCCATTCTGGGCCAGGGACGACGTCTCGCGTCACTGAATAAAGACGTGCCCGGCTGTCCGCTTGCCGGGCCGTACAAGCCGCTCCATGTGCATTAGTAGCATGTACTCGGCCTCCGGGGCACAGCCATGCATATCTGCCACATGCAGGCGCGCGCCAATACGCATTCAAAAGGAGCTCTCAAATGACCTTGGCTCTTGGCGTGGTCTCGGTGAGCACATGCTTTGCCTGATACCCTGGGCGTCCTTGGTCTGAAGCTTGGTCAGCTATGATGAGCTCAGTGTGTCGGAGACTTCTCATCGCCTGAACATGCCGCGACAATTATTTGCACGTCTGCTTGCGCGCGTAGGGCAGCGTTTCAATCAGCATGCTGTGCTCTGCGCGGCTGATGTAGACAACCTGGCATGTCAAGCTGCCTAATTATAACGTGACGGCGTGGGTCTGATTGGTTCGTCGCTTCGTCGTGTATGCCAGAGAGCAGTTGAAAAAGCCACGGGATCACTTATCTGATGCAGGGCTTGGCGCCGCTACGGGTGCCTCTCATAAGTCGGAGAGACGCAAAATTGCTTTTATGCAAATGTGCTACTAAAGCAATAAAAAGTGCGCCGCATCGCCGCCACCTCAGACTGGTGATGGGAAAATGGGCGAGGGTCAATGGTGGGACAAAAACGTTGCAATTAATTTAGCACATGTCGGTTTTATCTGTCACGGTTTTAGGCCACCCTTTTTAGGCGGTGCATCTCAATGAACAGATTATTCAGGAGAAGACGGCCGCGTTGGACAGAGAGGTTGATCCGACCGAATGTTGATCGGGTTTTTCTTCAGCACATCTAGCTGTCGTAGCTGTAAGCTCTGAAAAGGACAGCCAGAGCTGTGCCCTCCGCGGTGAGGTCCTGAGTCGCCCGGTCCACTCTGTGGTCCAGAGCTGCGCCCTCACGGTCACCTTGGTCAGATGAGAGCGCTGGTAAGTCGGGAGTCACGTGAGGGGATGCAAACACCCGCAACACGTGTAAACGCCCAGGAAATATGTCTGCAACGTAGTTACTTCGTACGCTGTGACCTCACTTGAAGAACTCGATGCGGTTTCCTTCAACAGCTCTCTCCCAGACAACATCGAATCCGCCAACATCGTATGATCCCTTGATGATGATGGCCAGCATCGAGGCGAACATGATGGCCATCTGAATGGTGTCCGTCCAAAGAACAGCCTTGATGCCTCCCTGCAGGGCAGCAGAAGACGAACGTGATAATGAATGAAGATTTTTCGCACACCACTACCTCAAACTTCATCAAATTTTTCGGTATTGTGATGCATATCACAAGATACACGGAACGAAAGTTACAGGCATATGCGCATGATCATTTTGTTGCATTTTCGCAGCATTTTTGGCCGAACTGAATTAATCGGTCGATACAAAGCGTATTTTCCTGTCAATAGACAACACAAATTGATATGGCGATAGCAAAGGTAACTTTTGCCGGTGCGCCAATATTTTGCATCAATTAATACCCCGACTACTTGTAAACTGGTCGCTACATCCATGCTCCAAAGCTCTTATCTGGCAGCCCTCACCAGAGCTGTGTAGAAGATGCAAACGAAGAAGATCAGACAGACGGACAGGTAGACATTGACACCGGTCACTGTGAAAAGAGCGCAAGGAAGTAAACATCTGCGGCTGTTCTGTCGTTAGCTACTGGTAACGGAGAACATAAAGGAGAGAATAGAGCGTGCGTACATTTGGTTGACGATATGATGCACAATGCGGACAAGATAGCACATTATGCACATGAGAAGCGAGGACACACAGGTGCATAATAGTGAGACCGCAACATGAGGAAGCGTTGGCTAGGAAGACCGAGAAACATTTCTTCACCTTGTGCCAGTGCAAGAGATGGTGCGTATACGACGATGGCCATATAGATGCTCTGAAGACAGAAAACAACCGCTGATGTCAGACGACCGAGTAGCCATGGCGCGCTCCTCAGCCGGGCGCGAAGTCCTGGTCAAGCTCTCATTTACAACCGCGGTGATCACGTACATGTATGCTCGTGTGGGCCCACACAGCAGCAACTTTGGAAAATACTTGAAGCACATGTGTTTGCATCCGCCCCGCCGAATTCCCTTCTCCTTGCAGGCGAAATCAGTGCGGTCAGCAGCACGAGACTCGCTCGACCGGCACCCTTTGCCTTGGGTCACGATGTCTGCTGCCGAAACCCGCAATCCACCGGTCGAGCGCGGTCGACGCCCACCATCCGACACGAAATCTGACCGGTACGGCATGACCATCACGCGACCCAGCCGTCCAGTGAAAACAGCGTCGACGAGCGACGCGTCTGCCGGGCTCGCTCACGAGCGTGCGCCAGCGCGGGCTCGGGCTGGCCGGTCGAGACGGTACATGTTTACACTCCGCCGTGTGCCGACGCGCCACTGAGAGCAGCGCTGGGCCAGCGCGTCCGGCGCCCGCGGCGTCCGACCGTTACCATCTGAATGCAGAAGAGACAGGCGCCGGTGACGCGGACCCTGCGGTGGAAGCGTCTCTCCAGATACTGCGAACGGGGACGACGGACATTAGCGGCGCTGCGTGGCGGCGATTCGACGGCGAGCCCCGT